CTGCCCAAGGGCAATAAGACAGATGGACAGATGGACAGTGACCATCCGGCATTTGGTCTGGTTTAGGGGGGGTTTACATAAGAAATAAAGTAGAACATAAAGCTCTATTTGATCCCATGCAAAAAGGGATATATTTGCACTTAAAGGAGTGGAATTACACTAATGTTGCTTCAACCAGAATACAATTGTCAGGCTTTAAGATTCCTGCTTTTAAATGTAGGTTTAAAGCCCGAGCAGCTGAACAAATTCATCAGCTTTCGGTACCAGCAGTGAAGGCAAACGGGAATTTGCCAACTCAGCTCGGATGAAAGACAACAGAAGGTCACTGCTCTTCTGAATTAAATATTTATTTTCAAACCAAGAAGATAGATGCAGCGTGCTTGGAGGTCCCACAGGACCTCCATGTTTTTTTTGGTCAAATTCATTGTATTCGGTCTGGAAATTGAATATTTAATCCTGCACAGCTGTGTTTTCCTCCATGCTTTTTATTTTCCTTTTGAAACCTGTCCTCTGTGATTATGTTTTACAACATGTGGTTTACTTGGAAATGGCTTAATTCTTGGATTGCATGTAATTAAGAATGTATTGATGAAAGGTGAGCTTATGCTTCGAAAGCTCTGTCTGTCTGTCTGTCTGTCTGTGTGTGTGTCTGTGTGTGTGTGTGTGGAAGAGGGGGGAGACAGAAAGTGTGCTGGCTGCACCACACTCATCTCTCTCTTCCTCCATCCTGTGTGTGTGTGTGTGTGTGTGTGTGTGTGTGTGTGTGTGTGTGTGTGTGTGTGTGTGTGTGTGTGTGACCTCAGGCTTCTTGCGGCTTTAGTTAAGTAGGAGTACATGCCCTTGTACAATGGCTTGTATAATTGGAGAGAATGAACATTTAATGACCCCCTGCAGGGAAATGAGGTGAACAACACACACACACACACACACACACACACACACACACACACACACACACACACACACACACACACTGTGCCCTGCACCTCCACCGACCTTCACGCAGAACTCCCTGAGCTCCCAGCGTTTGGGCTTGCGGTTCAGGATGAGCTCCTCCAGCAGGGTGGGCTGGTCGGTCAGCGCTGAGACCCCCATCAGACGGTTGTAGAGCGCCATCAGCTGCCTCTCCAGCCGATAGTCCTGCACGTACTGCAGGAAAACCTCCGTCTCCTTCTTAGTGAACTGTGCCTGGGCCCTCACCTGAAACAAGAGGCGGGGGGGGGGACAGATTCAAAGGAGAGTGTGAGCCCTCTTTAGTCCTGGTTTTTTCCAAAAATAACATAAAAATGAAATGCCTGCAATTTGCAAACAGCCTTAGAGGATAGACATAATATTAGAAGTCTTTTAGTTGTGTGTTTCTTTGTAGTCAACTTGAGGACCCTTGTGTCTCTAAGCAGTTGTTTTGTGATGTGTTGTCACTTTTAGACATTGTTTTGTGTAACTTTGTGGTGTTTTTGTATCTCTTTTAGTCATTAGGCATCTATTTTACGTTTTGTTTCTTTATGGTCATCTTGTAAAGTATCTCTTGAACAGTAATTTTTGGACTCTTTGCAGTCATTTTGTGTCTCTTATAAGTTGCTTTATGCCTTTTTGCTCCCCTGTTCAGACATACATTTCACATGTTAGGCTTACCCGTCACCATAAAGGCACGGCTCAAATATATTTTTTCTCTTGTCGCTAATAGGTTTGACTTACCGTTGTAATTATGTTCCTTTTCCTAGTCTGAGTTATGTAATTTCACCCTAAATCTAATCTTGTGGCCTGTAACTGAAAAATGTGGCTTTACACAAATACATTACCACTAAACACTGACTGATCCAGAAAGGTGTTTTATTTTTCTAAGCAAAATGCATTCAAGAGAGTTGTATCATTTGTTACATTTTAAAATAATTAAACAGTATATTAAAATCATAAGCGCATTAATACTGTCTAGTGGAAGTTAACAGATGCTTCAATCATACATCTGGTGACAGACATCTGCATCTACATAATACGCTTAGCATCATGAGTTCAGTCACAGTCACATCAGTTCAGTTAAACGGGCATTACTGTTCAAGGTCAGCATGCCCTTCAGTGTGTTTGCAGCATAACCAGTTCGAGTAAATTCTCTTTCACATACGAAACAGGGAGGCAGACATACTCCAACCGCCCCCACAGCTTTATATAAGACATACCCTAAAAAAGTTCCTTTCACAATAAACACTATTTTCCCAACATCAACAAAACGCAGACACACTGTTTTTCTTGCTGTGACAATATTATATTACTCAAGTCACATTAAAACACTGTGAGACACTCCTTTATTGGCTTACTACAATTATATAAAAGTACCCTTTCAAAATAAAAGTTCCCCTAACAATAAAACTCTCATGCATTTCAAACTTCCCTAACTCACCGAACTAATATTAGTTTACCCTTCACAAGTTCCCATCACAATAAAACATTGCAAGGCAGACACACTTAAATCTTCCATTGCAACGACTATATTACACCACCTGTATCAATGTACCCATCAAAAGTTAAAACAACTTTCCTTCACAATAAAACACTGAGAAACATACACTCCCTTATTGACTTACTACAATCATATAAATTACCCTTTCAAAATAAAAGTTGCCCTAACAATACAACACTTGTACATTTCAAACTCACCGAACTAATATTAGTTTACCCTTCACAATAAAACACTGAGAGGCAGACACTCCATACCCTCCAAAATAAAAGTTGAAAAGGTTCCTCACAGTAAAACAATAAGAAGCACGTATGCTAACCTTCCCTTATTAGACTACCATTCAAAATAAAAGTTGAAAAGGTTCCTCACAGTAAAACAATAAGAAGCCCACATGCTACCATTCAAAATAAGAGTATACTAAAAATGCGTGTACTAAGTGAACCTTCATGTTTGAGACCCAGGCAGCGTTTCCTCACCGCGGTGCCCAGCTGGTAGTACACCACGGCCAGGTCGTCCTCCAGCCGGTGCACCTCCTGGTCGTCCAGCAGGCCGGCTCCTCCTGCTCCCAGCTCCTGGTCCATGGAGTCCAGGTTCTTCTTGGCCGCCTCGCTCTCCTCTGCTGAGCCGCTGCCGCCCAGGTAGGAGCAGATACCCTGCACCAGCACCCTGGACATTTTTTTTTATAAAGCATTGAATGTTTTAGGCCCAAAATACATTTCTGATCTCCTGCTAAATTATGAACCATCCAGAACTCTCAGGTCTTCTGGGACTGGTCTGCTTTCTGTCCTCAGAGTCAGAACTAAACATGGTAAAGCAGCGTTCAGTTATTATGCTCCAAATATCTGGAACAAACTCCCAGAAACCTGCAGGTCCGCTGCAACTCTTACTACTTTTAAATGCAGGCTGAAGACCTCTTTGTCGCTGCTTTTAATTGAACTATTCATATCTTAATTGGCACTGTAACTTTTATTCATGTATTTTTTCTTTTAATGTTTATTTTATTATCTTTGCTTTTTAATGACTGTTTTTAAATGCCATTTTGTAAAGCACTTTGAAATGCCTTGTGTTGAAAGGGGATAAATAAACTTGCCTTGCCTTGACAGCATCAGGAACATATATCATATCATATATCAATATGAATGAAATCAGAAACTGTTATGGATATGCAATAGAAGTCATATTTATAAACATACTTAGAATGTGTTAAATGGAGTTATAAGCACACGTAAATATTTTTACAATGAATTATTAATGCTCATTACGCATTTTAAAGCAACATAATACTTTGCAAAGAAGTGAGTTATTGAGTATTGAGTCTTATTGAGTATTGAGTCTTATTGAGTATTATAATACTTGATCTTTTAACAAAATGCTAAAGTGTTATTATTATTGTTTAAATAATTAAAAATGATCTTTGAGTTCTGATAACTATTATTATACAGTGAGATAAGCAGATTTTAATGCATTATTGTGAGTATATTAACATGAAATATTTAGAAAACTCACCTCACAGTTTGCATGTAGCCCACTGGCTCCAAAACCTTTCCAAACATCGCCATGGCTGTGTTCAGACAAAGAGAGACAAATTAAGTTAACCCCTCCTTCATGTTAACTAGTATAAAATCCTTGTGCCATTATTTGTTATTAATTGATTATGTTCGGATCCTTTTTACTATTTTTATAACACCAGACCAAAAGTATTGCAACTCACCTCTGTTGTTCTGTGTGCACGTTTGTTCTGACCTTCACAGTTTGTCCAATATTTATACACTCTCATGAACAACCATTAATCTGATAAGACTTCTCGACGTACATGCTCTGTCTGAACTTGAGAGGAGGATGTAGTATATGAGGTGTACATTTCTTTGTGGTCGTAGTAGTGGAAGTAAATGTTTGTTTCTCAAGTGAATGCATAGTACTGATATATACACAGAAAAATGTAAGCCAAAAGTCTCATTCACTAGACGCCAAACAGTAAGCCAATACAGTCAGTAGGGGCTTGAACTGTGAGCCGTAGGGTTGCCGGTTCAAGTCCCCAAACAGACCTAAATATGGAGTGTGGACTGCTACTTGGGGAGTCCCAGTTCACCTCCTGGGCCCTGCCGTGGTGCCCTTGAGCAAGGCACCGGACAACCCCCCACTCCCATTGCTCCCAGGGCGCTGTACAATAGCTGCCCACTGCTCCTAGTACTACACTTCTGGTACTAGGATGGGTTAAATGCAGATGCCAAATGTCACTGTGTGTGCTGTGTGCTCTGCATGTGTGACCATTAAAGAGGGTTTTAAATCTTTTGATTAAATGGCACAGAAACATACAGAATAACAACAATAACAATACATTATTAAATAACCCTAGCTCTTACCAGGAGATAATGTAGAGACATTTTTAGTAGTTTTTGTTTAAATATTTCTAACAATCTCTTAATTCTCACTGTAGTCCATAGATGGCTATAGTGCACCGTTAAGCTGCCAATAAACACCAACGAAGAAGTTAAGAAGACTTCCGCTGGAAAAGGCGCTAACATTTTGATGTTGGTAAAAGGTAAACAAATGGCCCTTTCGGTGAAGTAAATGTGATGTGTGATGTGATGTGATCACAATATGTGTGATGTGATGTGATTATTCTACATTTTGCAACATTTCAGACTTTTTATCAGAAAATGGACCCCACGGTTCCGTTCTTTGCAAAGCTGAAGAAGGTGGCGATGAATTTAGAGTCAGAAACGGGTAAACTCACGCACGACTTTGAACACCGAAACGACGACGATCATGACGACGACAGCGGTGAGTAAAAACACTATTTATCAACGCAAAATAATAATAGTGTATGCATAATTTAGCTGGTTTTGATGTGAGTTCCTTTTTATTCCAGAAACTACAGCCAGAGCAATGAGAACATATCACCAAAGGAACTGTGAAGTCGGAAACCTAAAGGTACATTTTTGAAAACTGTGAAACCTAGCTTAGTTTAACGGCATATTACACTTTAGTATAAAATACTCGAAAACATTTCAATTTCCATTGTTTCAAGTTAGATAAGTTATTGTTTCTTATGTTCCTAATGACCGTCTGTTGCCTTGATGGCAGTTGGTGAAATCAAACTGACATTTTTTTGAAATAAACTATGTATTTAAGTACCTGCAAAATTAAACAAAACAGCTATAAAACGGTATTTAGTTAGGATAAGTGCGTTTACTCTTGTGAGACTGAATTCTTATATATTTTTGAATGAAATTTGGTGTTTGTGTGACATTGGTATAATACGAAATATAACACAATGGCCCTGCATTACAGCTAATATAGAGATATACACTTTTTAGACTACAAATGTGTGACATAACTTTAAGGTTTGTCATTTGTATGAAAATGGTGTTGTTCATTGAGGAAAAAAGATTATTAGGAAAGTACAGCAAAGAAATAACGTCCCTCATTAAGCATCGCAAAGAAGTGTAGGCTAGGGAGGCTGTGGCTCAGTGGATAGTGTGCTGGACTTCGAATCAGGGGATAGCAGTTCGTGTCCCACTGCAGTCAGCATGTCGTTGTGTCCCTGGCCTGGGCAAGACACTTCACCCCAAATTGCTCCGTTGGGGATTGTCCACAGTACTGAATGTATGTAAGTTGCTTTGGATAAAAGCGTCTAACAAATGATATGTAATGTAATGTGTAGAAACAGTTAGTGTGAAAGTGATTCATTCGTTGTATTCAGTCTGTTTCTAACACATACTTTACCATACACTATACATCTGAGGGCCGATTTATTTTTTGAAAAGAACAATAAGGAACTGTGCTTTGTCTTCATACAGGGGCAGCTCCAGGGTCAGATTGCTGAGCTGAAAGCACGGGAGGATTATGTGGACAGCTTTATTATGGCCGGCAGAGTGATGCAGAAAAAAATGACTAAGGACATCCAGGCACTTAAGGGACACTGGGAGAAATACGGTTACCAAGCTCCACGAGACACCCAGAGAGCGAGCAGTAAGTAATGACAGTAGCTGTATCTCTTTTCTTAAAGGGATAGTGTTGATGTTTGGTGGTGGCCGTTATGGTAGTTATCCGAAGAAGAGAAGCTACGTAAGTAAAATTTCTGTCGCGGCTGACTTTCTTTGTTAACATCAAGCCAGTAAGACCATTCAAACCGACCGCTCTAATGCCTTATCTTTAGCTTGTTTTACTTACAGTTGTGATGACTTGTTTTACTTCTGATTATGGGTTTGATGTTGTCCATTTAAACATTCACAAAGAAAATTGGCCTTTACATTAGTCAAACAAAACATAACAAAAGAGGCACAACTTAAATCAAATAATAAACAACTTAGATCCTTCTTTATTTACTTTATGTATGCTAATATAACTTACTGATTAGACAGCGTCTTCCACACAGGTAGCCCATCTCTGTGTCTCTTAAGAGCCTGGGGAATGTAGTCTTTTATAGCCTTGACTGCGGAGGTCATGATTAGGTGACAATGTCCTGCCCTTTTTACAAAACCAAAAGACCGGCTCCAACACATCAACTATGGTAAAACTAGCCCTTTGGCTGCTCACTGAAGAAAACAACATGATATCAAATGTGCTTTTATGGAATCTTTCTCTTGCACAGAGGCTAACGGACAGCAGTCAGAGGCTGCAGGTGAAGTATCAGAGGACAATGAAGCAGCAGGAGAAGAAGAAAGGGAAAGCCAGGAGGAGGCTGGAGGCAGTCCCTCCTCATCGCCTCAGACGGCCAAACCGCCGGCCTTCACTGACGTTATGCGAACACCACGGTTGTCTGACTTCGGCCTCTCTGAAATGGAGCTGAGGAAAATGTTGGCTGGTTGCTCTGAAGTGCCCCCCATGCCTGAGATGAGCCTGCCCCACCCCTCACTCTACGAGCCTGCACCGCCATCACCAATGCCCTTTACCCCCAAATGTGCCCTGCGGATGGATGACGAAGATCTGCGGACGCCTCAGCTGTCTGACTTTGGCCTTTCAGAGCACACCATGTGTCTGAACGACTTCACTATGGATCTGTTGAAGAAGAAGAAGAACGTTGAAAAGCCCCAAAGGTAGAGGATAATGAGCATCATGTAAACAGTATACGACCTCTACTGGCGATGTGCAGGATCTTTCCAGTAGGGCTGCTCAATTAATTGTATTTTAATCGCAATTACGATTTTGGCTTGCAACGGTTATGAAAACAACATAATCGAAATAAAACGATTTTGTTTTTTTAAAATAGGTTTTTCAGTTGAATTATACTTAAAGTTCAGGGTAATCAACTGTTAAAAACATACTTTTCAAATTTATTATGTTTTCAAAGTAAATGGTTAATCGTTTTTAATAATCGTGATATCAATTATTGACCCAAATAAACGAGATTATGATTTTTGCCATAATCGAGCAGCCCTACTTTGAGCACAACATGAATTTATGGATACAGCTCTCAACACTCAGATGAAAGGGAGCTGTATACTTTTCAATAATCCAAACATCTTTAGAATATGATCACAACAAATCATTTAAACTTGTTTATTCTTATCTTATGTTACCTAGTTAGCATTCTTTCTTTTTATTTATGCATACTAATCCCTCCCCTTTTAAACTTTTTACTGTCCTATAGTACACATTGGAATGATTTCTTACTTTATTTTTTACAACTTTATTAAATAGATAAAGGTTTGCTCTCTCTCTCGCTCCACATTGCTTTTCTTCCCGACTGCAACGCTGTTGTGTGTGTCTGTAAGAGCGTTTCACATGTGTGTATGAGAGATTTGATCAGTGTCGAGCCTCTCTCTGAGGGCCTAAGATATTCTACAAAATAATATTTAAAAACATTAAAACAAATTATATCCCTCAGAGAGAGGCTCGACACTGATCAAATCTCTCATACACACATGTGANTTGTATGCCATACGTATAATAGGGGGGTCCCTGCTCCAGCTCTCCATCAGCTTGGGGGTCCCTGGCCTGAAAAACGTTGAAGACCCCTGCTTTAAAGTGTATGTCGATGACCACTCAAAACATTTTAGTCCAGTCTTCGTCAGCACAACGGATTTGTGGTTAGTAGTAAAGTTAATAATTCAATCCTACAAAATGATAAAAATAAAATGTAAGACCTATCTAGGGCTGTGTGATATGGAGAAAGTCAAATATCGTGATATTTTTGATCAAGCAGCATTGTAGGGTGGACCATTTCACTAAATATTTGGATAAATATTCATCAATAATGTGGTGACAATGACTCAGGTGGTAAAGGCAAATATTAGAACAGTTAAAACATTAAAGAAATTACATCACATTAATGTAATTTCCAGCCTTTGAAGCCAGGAATGACACTTATGCAATATTATAAGAAAAGAGACAATATCTAGTTTCATATCAGATAGCGCTATGATAGATATATTGCACAGCCTTGTCTTCCAAAACATAACTCATTACTGAAAGCTGTAAGCAACAGTAAAGAATGCAACTAAAGAGGGCAGTCTAGGAGTTACATACCTTGTGTGTTCAAACTCTCCAAAGTGTTAACTGGGGGTTCAGGCCGGTCTTGTGATGGCCTGTAAAGAGGACACTCATAGATCAGTAATAAGCGGTGACTCTACAGTAGACTGGAAAGTAGGGCTGCTCGATTATGGCAAAAATCATAATCTCGATTATTTGGGTCAATAATTGATATCACGATTATTAAAAACGATTATCCATTTACTTTGAAAACATCTATCAATTGAAAAAAAAGATTNGTTAGTTAGTCTGTCGACGGTAGCAAACAAGGCACGTGCGTTGTTTTTGTTTTTGGCAATGATGTCAGAGAAGAAAGACTGTTGTGCGTTTTTCAATTCCAAATTATAAAGGCCAATCTCTCTTTATAGATTTCAAAATGAACCTTGAGATTTGTTTTTCGCCACCTATGTTCAGCTTTTCGACGTTCTCTTTTCTCTGTTTTCACGGTCATGGCCTTTCTCCATGGAGATATTTTCTTGCCAGTCACTTCCTTTACCTTAGTTGGAGCAATGGCATCAATAAAAATTTTTTATTAAAATTATCTACTAGCTCATTTACTGAGATGTCAGCAGGAGCAAGTGTGGAAGAAAAATTCTGAGTAAACATTTCCCTAGTATTTTCAGTTAAATATCGCTTTGTGGTTACCTCTTTTTGAACATTTTTGTGAACAGAAATAGAGCTCTCAAAGAAAACACAGGAATGATCAGAGAGTGTAACATCAGTCACCACAAGTCCACAACCTTAGAGATATTCAGACCCTTTGAGATAATTAAGTCCAGAGTGTGCCCCTTATTGTGCATGGGCTCCGTCACATGCTGAGTCAGTCCATAGCTATCAAGAACACAAAACAGTTCTTTAGCCCCTCTGTCCTGGGGGTTGTCAACATGGATGTTAAAATCACCAACAATGACTAGACGGTCAAAGTCAATACACACTATAGACAGCAGTTCAGTAAAGTCTTCAAAAAAGCTTGCACAGTATTTGGGTGGTCTATAGATATTTAGGAACAGAGCTCGAGAGGAGCATTTCAGCTGAAGGGCCACATATTCATAAGCAAAGTTCCCATTAGATGTCTTCCTGCATTGAAGGTGTAGCCACAATAATTTGATTGACAACATTTAATTATAAGTGATGAAAATGGTATCACATAAACCCTCATTTTAGCCTCAGCTGGATTCCATTTGACTTCTGGAAAAGTCTCTGAGCTGCAGGTTACCAGAGGTGAAGAGGACACATAACCAGACACAGAATCAAAAACATAATGTAGGATTAGTATATCGGAATAACTTGGATATCTTTCTTCACATTTGCAATTTTTTGGGGGTCTTTCTGACATTTCCGGGGCATTTTTCCCCCTCAATTTCTAACAGTGCTCTACTTTTTTCTTTTTTTGTATTCAACATTTATTCAACCATGCACCTTCCATTGAGAACACTTGAAGAAAAAAAAACTGAAAAGGTTGACTTTGTATCTCTTTAAAGCCACATGGAGAAATAAATAAAGAGAAATCCAGTTTGTTTTTTTAACCAAATTTATTCCATAAAAGACACTTGAAAATATACTTGTATATCGCTCCATGAAGCTGTTCTGCTAAATCCATATTGTACAAAATATTCCACACAGACAGACGGGCTGCATCTCCACTGGGAGGAGGAAGAGTTTAAAGGGTTAATGGGGAGGAAAAGAGTTTCATCTTTTACAGACTGAGCTGTTTGTGGTTTAAATTCTGTTTGTTTTTCAGAGGAAATGCAGCCGAACACACAAACTTCTCAAACTGAAACACAACAAACAATTAAAATAACTTTTTTCACTTGAACAGGTAAATGTGGAGAAGTGGAGTTTACAATATTTCACATGAGTTTTTTTGTTTCAAATGCAACTAGAGACCGTTTTTATTTGAATAAATGTTTGCTATATTTGAAATTAACTTAGAACAGTTTGTGGTCATTTCTGAACTGACCGAGTAAACCTTTAGTCAGAACAATAACAACAACAACAAGAACACCCAAAAAAAAATGTATAAGGATTTCGCCAACATGCAGCATTAAAAGTGTTAGTGTTAAAAAGCACGCTAAGCACATAGCCCATCATCAAACTCATTCAACAACTCAAAATATTAGTTTTTAACCAAACTGTGTCCCAAAGATTCCAAGAAAATGATCTTTTAGGGAAAATGGTTGGCTTCATGCAAGAACAATTTATAAAAACAGTCATGGACTTGTAGTTTTTTTATTTTAAATGAATATAGATACAATATAAAAAGTATTTAGTTCGCCACATCATTGAGACCAATTCATCAATTAGCATTAATAATGCCTTTTCCATTAATTGAATAATTGTTTTCATCAATTCAACTTTACATTGCATCCCGGATGTGTGAATTTCACTGATGTTGAACTCACAAATGCTGATTTACTACAACTTTGTGCAGTTTTAAGTTGTAGTTGTGTGTTGTATAGCACTTTTATGGTAAAACCTGACCAACAAAAAACAGGTTTTGGATTTAAATATTTTTTAAAATCTCTCCTTCATGACCTCAAGATCAATTTCAGTAAGTTTTCAAACAAAAACTAGATGAATAAATAGCACTACAGGTAAGAAGAAAACTGTGTATTTTCAAATTTTGTGTTGAACTGTCCCTTTAAGAGTTCTTGCATGAGGCCTATATAAAACTTGAAAAACAAAAACCAAAAAAATGTCAACTTCTCAAAACCCATCCGGCATCAAAAACACAACCGCAAGAAAAGCATCTCTGAGTTATGAAACATCGAGTGGCCGAATCCAGCTTCCTGTTTAGTGCTCTGTAATGTGCTACGTGGCATCACCTCCTGTTGAATATATTTAGCAGTCACAATGATTTGACATTTTTAGTAAACAACTGTCTTTGAAAGGCGCTGTAAACAGGGCACGCGGATTAACATTCATATCAACATCTGACCTTCGAATGAAAACCATCAAATTGTAAAGCCTCATATAAACGCAGCCATTTAGAATTACAAGCTGCATTACTTTAAACTCTTATTCTAAATGTCACATGTACTTCAAGTTATGCATGTATATTTGTACTTTGAAAGATATGTATGACCACAATAGGATTCCCATTGGCTCTGAAGCTTTGTGCAAAACAGCTCGTCAATAACAGCCACGATATTGCCATTTCTATTCCCTGATTTCTAGAGGAGGAATTGAGATTCTTTACCAAGTGAAGCGTTGAGAAGAAGCAGGCAATGAGAAGACAAAGCATTGGAGTAAAGCAGAATATAAAATGAGTATTACTTATACTATATGTGCTAATGTTGTACTTGTTGTGAAGCATCTCCACAGCCCATTAAATGGATGTTTGAAGCAAAACATTTGAATTCCCTAACTCCGTATTCTCCATTGAACGCCATCAAGTTGATACGATGTGAACAGAGGAATACGGCGACAACCGGAACACGTATTGAGGCCTGATCGATGTATCCGTCAGGTTCATTGCTTTATAAGTGTCCCTCATGAAAGTGGTAATACCTTTGTGTCCCTTTTGAATCGCTTGTCTCGCAACATGATAGAAAAAACATTCGATTTTTCGTACTCGTGTAAATTGAGTCTTCACATCTGTTTTGATCCCTTATCCAGAAACCACAGGTCTCACATTAAAACGTATTCATCCCTAAAAAGCAGCAGACTGTGCCTAGGGAATATGACCCTACTGATTGTTTGCTGTGAGCAGGGAGCAAAGTGTTGGAGTGATGATTGAATGCCTCTTTCAAAGTTCAATTTGAGATACTGGCAAACGGCTTCATTTCAATTGTCAACTAACACATCCAAGAGACTCTTTAAAAAAAAAGTGCATTAAATGATTGCATTCCTTGAGTCCTCTTGATAACAAAGTAAGATATTTAGTCAATTGTCCTGGTTATAGTCGGACAAGTATATCTTTTTATAAAATGTCTTCCAAAGTGCTAAAGAGAGACAATCCTCCAGGTGGACGCAGAATGTTTCTCATGGTTTCACATTATTCTACTGACCTGCAGGTGGTGCTGACACCAAGTATTATTGTGATGTACCAACAGACTAGTGATCCATCCTCTGCTTCTTATGGGTTATACTATATATATATCTGTTTTGTATTTATAGGACCTTTATGTGCCAAGTTGCATGGTGACTGCTTTTTACTTTAGCAACTCGCACTTTGGAATCAAATCATGGAAAGGTCCTGATGTGAAGCGTCAGAGCGTCTATGAAGAACTGCTTTAAGGCTCCCAAAGTGTGATTGAATGTATAGTATAAATAACAGCAGCTTTTAGGAACAAAGCATCAGAGATTTTGAAAACAAAGTGGAACGTTTTGATAAAAGGCTTAATTTAACGAGAGCTCGTTCGTGGCTTTTCTCTAAAATGTATTTTGACCTAAATATGTTTTCTTGAAATGTATACCTTTATAATATGATTACAACTTTTCTTTTGTTTAACTCTCTCTTGTGATATTATAACTTTGGACTTATTTATCATATAGAAAGGAATATTATATTATTATTATATCTCTTTCTTGTAAATGTACACGTTTTTTTGGTCATTTTTGGGAAATATTCAGAAAACATGTTTTAAGGAAGGTCTTTATATTCAAAACGATCACAGCCAAGTTTGATACAGGAGATAATTCACAATACTAAGGTGTGACTGTCAAAGTATTTCTTTTAAAATGTATATTTAAAATATTTCGTTGTGATGAGAAATGATATTTTCACTCGAGTTAACTCCCTAAATATTCAGATTTGTTTCCGCAAACCTAGGCCTTTTTGTTTTTGATCAAATAACTTTATTCTCAAGATGTTTTTTCCACTATTGTTGTTGCATCGTGATTGTACTCTGCAGTGTGTGTGTGTGTGTGTGTGTGTGTGTGTGTGTGTGTGTGTGTGTGTGTGTGTGTGTGTGTGTGTGTGTGTGTGTGTGTGTGTGTGTGTGTGTGTGTGTGGGCTGGCTGGCTGGCTTTTACTTTCACCTAATTGTACTATTATTTTCAATGTGATCATTTCACGTCTATTCCCTCATGTCGCAAAGTGTTGTTGTAAATAATGTTAACATCATCTAAAGTTTATTTCTACTCCAATCTTTTAATTGTAATGAAATCTAGAAATCACACGGACTAAATGTAGGAGAAATTCAATGTGAACTGAGGTTTTTTCATATGCTTGTGTTAATCACAGGTGTAGAACCAAGCTGGCAGCATCACTAGCTCGCTGCAGAGTGAAACAGAGTCTGCAGAGCGTCTCCTGTTTTCTGTCAGATCCTGTCAGGACCAAACAGCACAGAGCAAAACGTCTGCCACTTTATGCATGGGTCAATACTCTCAAAGCCAGGTACACTCGCACACACATGCACACACAAGCAAATACACACACAAACACAAACACTGAGAAGGAGGGCCATAGAAAGAGAGCCATGCAGTTATTTATTTATGTCACACTTGCTCCTTTTTCCTTTATTCTTCTGTTCATCGTGCCATTAGGGCTTGCATTTATGTAAACAGTTTCCAGTATTAATTGGAAAAATCTAATGTCACAAGTGGGACACACTTTTTTAATTGCCCTTTAGTGGGGTTTTTTTGGTTTAAATGTCAGTGTCAATGTCAGTATGAAGACAAATTATATAATAACTTCTATCAGACTGTTTATAAAATAACACTGTGAGTTTAAAGTGATAGGCTCTGTAGGGGGAAATTGCAGGTGCAGTATGGGGTTAATGGTGAGTGCAGTTATCACATATCTGAGACCGGAAAGTTTAACATGTTCATACCTTGGGGGTGAAAAGGTGCATCTTGGATAGTTATGTGAAGCTAAAATGCAGCAACTCTACTCACCAGACACACCTTGAGTGTATTTGAATCATATTTCCTCTAAACTAAACAATTCATTTAACAGAAATCCTGATATTTTCTCTATAGTGTTGACGAAGTGTGTGCATCGTTACAAAGAGCCGGCTTGTGTGAAGTGGAGATCATGACGGCCCTCAGTGAGGGGTCGTTCTGCAGAGACCCTCTCTGTCCCGATACACTCGTCTTCTCCCCTCAGCTTCACGCTCTGCTGCAGCACAGCAGCCTCACAAGTACATATGCACTTAACACACAGGTATGTATGGATATGTGTAGTGAGGTGTGTAATTGAGCTAAATATAGGTTACACTCACTAATGGGAAACATGCTTTAATCCTTCAGGGGCTTGTAAAGATAATTTAAGGAGATAGATACAAGACTGGTGGAAAGAATACTGTCAAAAAAGTAGTACAATATTTATAAATCCACCTAAGAGAAAATAAGAAGCAACCAGATATTTAGTTTCTTTATAAATGTGACTTCAACTACATTGTTTTCATCGGAGGAAAAAGAAAAGAGAAAAAAATCTGTACCAACAAATTAAATTCAGATACTATTCTTTGCTGGCCCAAACTCAAAAATAACCGCAATCTTCTGGTTTATCTTTTAATGGAGCACCAAGAACATTGGTCTGTGTATGCCCATTTTATTAAAAGCAAAATTACTGGTTTAAAATAAAGTCCCCAAAATACTCACCGGAAGTTGCCAATTGAATGAACAGAAGGAGATGTTGTTAACTTGTTGAATCGTTGACTAATAGTTCTTCTTAATGTAGGTAATGATCTTTACTTTTGATGCTGTGGGACTAATTTAAAGTTTTGCCCTTCACACAAAAGTGGCTTAGGGCTTTGAAGTATGCTCCTGCTGTGATGTGAAGTTTATTATCTTTGGAGCTGAGTTAAAGAGGTCAGTTTGTTATTAATCTTGATCAGCATCACAGCAGTCTATAACACTGGAGGGCACACTTTTGTCAAGCAGGAAATCCCCCATGCATTGTGAATAAAGTGTGCATCTATTTTTCAGGACAGGAGTGTGTGTGTGGCAGTGAGTGCGTTACGCCCCCTGCTGTTTGATAACGGGGACGTCTTGGCGGTGGGGTCTTTCTCAGCTGTGACCGTGGCTCACGTCGCCGTGGCGGCCGCTGACCGCTCTGGCCGAGTGTTGGTGTGTGGTGCCGATCACACTACGTCACAAATAGACGAGATACAAGAACTACTCACACAAATGGATATCAAAAGTGAGATCATGCATTGCAGCATCCCATAAACCCCTCTGTTTCAGCCCTGTTTCAAAAGTGCTGATTCTCTGTCTGTTACTTTAGATGAAAAATAAGGAGCCACTCCCCACGCCCCTCTGAGAGATATTTGGTTAAAAAGAACACAATGGTGCTCTAGGAGGAGATTCAGGTGATAAGGTGTGTGGGGGGGGGTCTGAGACTGCCAAGGCACACGCTAATGGTTACACAACCCAAAGAAATATTATGACATCACAAAGTGGCCAAAATCTGATCAGCTCATTTTCAGACAGGTTTTTATAGAAATGGTTCAGGACAAAAAGTGAGAGAATCTTTTTCCCTGAAACATTCAGAATCTCTTTAAACGCGGGGAAACACATATTTATGTATAAAAGACATGAAAAAGTGGATCTTGCATAATAGGTGACCTTTAAATTAAAAGTACACTTGGATAGCGCAGACCTTAGCCAAGGTCATTCACATCATTAAAACATATTTGTGTATATCTGCTCAGTCATTTCTATCCGCCCCAAAGTTTAGTGGGTTCTTCTTTGGCCCGTGCTTCATTCTTCAACCAAGTTTCATGAAAATCAGGTCAGTCGTTTTTTTGTAATCCTGCATACGAATCAAAAAACATAACCGAAAAGATAGGTTGGTGGAAGATACATAAAGTCTGTTGATTGACAAGCTTTCACACACATGAGAATTTGAGGAGCCTCTTGGGAATATTTCATTCCAACTGTATATTAGCATTACTTTCATGGTCCTACTTCATGTCCTTTGCAGATGTGCGAGTCCTGTCAGAAGCCTTCAGTGGTTTGAATGAGTGGGACGCCTCTGTCCAGCGACTAAAGGTCATCATCGTGCTGCCTCAGTGTTCCTCCTCCGCGCTCAATGACCCTGTGCCCACCATGCACAGTGAACATGGAAGTACGTATGAAATACATATAAATATTGATCGAGATAGTGTTTTTACATTAAATGTGATAGAAATGCTAAAGAAGTTCCGTTCTGTTGACAGACTGGGATCTACTGCCGGAATTGTGTCACAGTTCTGTGTCTCGAAGCAAAATACACACAATGGCCTCCCAACAGGCACGACTTCTAGCTCACGCCGTGTCCTGTGAGTATATACTGAAAGCACAAACACACACACACAAATACTATAACTTGGAATGCATCTTTTCAGGCAATGAAACACAATACATTACAATAAACAGATATGAAGAATTAAAGCTGGGAACAGTTATGCAAAGTGTGACAATACACAAACACACACACTATAAATGTGGGCTATAGCCTACTGTTCCTCTGTATATATGATTCATACAATGCAACACTATAATAAAAGAGTAGTGGATTATTATTTGTATTTCTTTTTTTCTGTCAGTTCCAAAGGTTCAGACGGTGGTCTACTGCACACGCTCAGTGTATCCTGAGGAAAATGAACAGCTAGTGAAAAGAGTGTTAGACAAAACACACACCCATCCCAAACTGCTGCCCTTCAGGTAAAAACACACACACCTGCTTGTGCATGTATAAGTTCTCTATATATAAAGTTTTTCATTATGAACTTAGATTATTTGTGTCCTCAGGCTCAAACCGTTAATGCAATGGGAAAACTCTAAGCAGTTGGTTTTAATCACTCGCCGAACATAAATCAGTACTAGGGTTTGTGGAAGTCGTCAATCCATGTGCATTTAAAGGTAAACTCAACACTGTTTTCTCTGACAGAAAGTGACAGGTGATAGGCAGCTCACAGTGAAGCCTTCTGCTTTAACAAAATATTCACTTTGAAGCTGATTGTGTCGCTCTGTACTTTTTTATGTTATTGAGATTCTGTCAGATTATTAAATTCAGAACCATCCGTCATTGTGATAAATGTACTGGGGATTAAACAAAATGTCAATTTATGAAACCAACCTCCATGTCTTTATTCTGACAGGACTCAGAGTCTACAGCCATGCTAGCTGCTCTGTGAGTCTGTACATGCTAATGTTATCATGCTAACAATATGTAGGCTGATTATAGGCAGGTATAATGTTTACCATGTTTATATTGTTAGTATGCAAATGTTTGCTAATCAGCACTAAACACACAATTCTGCAGAGGCAAAACTGATACTGGACAGATTCAATGTGAGTTATTCAGATGTGTCCTCCTTTCGTATTTGTCTGCTTCAAATTTAGATTAGTTTGAGGGAGAAAATTGAAAGTCTTTCATTTTTAAGCATAAATTATGATTGCAAAACAGCTACAGTCATACTACAGACGGCAGGTAAAAGGACTGTCTTCGTTCTGTAGCACAAAAATAATACATTTAAAGTTTATTGGACATTTGTTCACAGAGTATATAAGATACATTCACAATCTCATTTTAAAACATCCCATTCAACAGCTGCATACGTATCTGAGTGCAGAACTCAAGTATAGTGAGCAGTGAGCTTCAACTCTGAGAATTACAGACGGCAGTAAAGACTGGGAGAGTAAATCATGTCTGTCTAGTATAAATATGATAGCCTATCCTCACATTATACTTTCTGTACAACTGTGTGTGTGTCTGTGGGAGAAAGAGAGAGTGTACAGTTACCAGGGTGAGGACAGTAAAAAGGATCAGCTGTGGTTGCCGTGGGGACAGTAGTTAATCCCACAGTCCGGGTGGAGCAGATTTCAGGGTCAGTTTCACGCCTGCTGCTCCATGACACTCATTTCTTACCATTCATCCCCTTAAATAAATTAAAATGTTATTATGTTTGTAGTTTCTTCACATCAAATGTTTCTAAACTTTTATCAACGCACTATAGTGCCAGGAGTCGACCAGCAGCTGTTTCACCTCTTTGTTTAGCGTTGCCTGTTACAAATGTACTGTAGTGAATAGTTTATACTAGTAAACGCCAGAAAATAACTGTACAGTCTGCAGCAGCTCATACTGCACAAATATCATCTTAAATGCCACCAAACTACTTCTATTAATATGAAAATGTTGTTTTGCGTCAGACAAGTAAAGAGAAGAAAGAAAAGTGATTTGTTCTTCCTTAAATGGAACAGGTCAAGGTGTTTTTATTCATAATTACATGTGTCATTCCCTCTTGTTTTTCTCGTTTCTTTGGCTTCTATGTTTGAGGGATGGTGGTTATAGCTCCAAAAACATGAATTATCATATACATATTATATGTATATATTCATATACACTGACTTTTAGGTTTTGTAGGTGTAAGAGGAATTGAGTTGTGTACTTGTAAAATGCTGCCTTTCAGACGGTGTGATCTATATAAGCTTTGCTGTACCTAACTAAAACGATAGACGTTTTCACTCTCTAAACTCATTAATAGGACCCCTGGCAAGAATGATGCTCTGTGCCTCGATTTTGAAAGGTTTGTTTTGGTTTCCACCCAGCTGCAGGAGAATTGCAGTGGGTGCAAATGTGTGCAGTTTTCCTGATTCCTAAAACAACTTTTCGTTGAGAATTTAAAAATGAATAAAGGTCACACCAGCACACCATTTCCATATTTAAACAGAATTGGGACCGCTGAGAATTGCCAACATATAAAATGTGGAGGGCACTTACAGCAGATGTACAAAACACAGTCACCAGCAGTGACAGCTGGTAGTGCAGCAGCCTATCAGCAGGCTGGTCCTGAGGCTGCGAGCAGCACTAACATCCACAATATACAACTCTGCATATACAGTATATACTGTTACACTGCTGTTAAACTAATCTTCAAATACTCTTATTAATGATCATTGATACAACTGTATTAACCACTGACTATCAGCGTGTAGTTTTCTTGACTAGAAAATGTCACCATATGCCTGAAAACACAACATATTGAAGTTGCCACATACTGTACCTCAGTTTTAATAATACATGTCCTGTATTTGGTTTTGTTGGTAGACTGCCAAGGCACAC